TTTCTACTTTGTATTGAGATTGTAGTCCATTACAGGAGCGAGCCTGGAACAGTGACTACTTTACAACACACACAGGAACAATGGAAAACAAAAGTAGCCCCCCTCCAGAAGGAATGTCAGCACCAATTCAGAGATGATTTGAGGATCTACAGCCGAGTGATGTACAAATAAGATACATTTTTGTTAATAGTTAAGGTACTTTAATACATTTTTAAGATTTAACTTCTGAGCTTAGTGTCACTTTAAGGATTACCACTCACTTTCTATCTTGGCAAAAATGGTCACCAGGGCAAAAAGTAGATAAAATATCCCCAGCAGGTTTACCCTTCCCCACCATATCCAAAACTAAAAATTTTAAAAAAATCCTTTACAGGCTCTTGTGAAAAGAAAAACACTTTGAACAATTTTCATTGGATATAGTGGATACATCGAGAGATTGCATAGGCCAAAAAAAGAACTTGAAACATAATAAACACTATTTATTTGACTGGCTAACCAGTGGAACATCCCAGGTGCCTTAGTACCATTGCTAGAGTCTGCCAACAAAACTTTGCATCAGGAACATGACCAGTTTGTGTATCTAATATTACCACTCATGGCATAGTGTTGCTTGTAAAAGTTGAGGCGGTTTTCAAGAACCATGCTACCTGATGATAAATGGGCACAGCAACCCTTGGGACTAATGTCAAAACAATAAGCATAATCCAGAGGAGCAGGGGACTAAAACTTGTACTAGGGTTTCTTCTGCCCTATTACAATAGTACATACACATTAAAGAGTAAAGCCTTCAAGGGAATAACTTTTCCCCCAACTAAAGTCAATGTATCGGATTTAGGCATCACAATAGCTATCACCTGGGCTAATAATGCAGAGCCTGCATCTGTCTCAGCATCTCTTGATACACATTGCCGTCAATAATTATTCTGCTTTTTCCTTTCTCCTAATTACAGCAGTGACTGACATTTGATTCTCTATAGATTCTGCCACAGCTGAGGCCGTCCAGTTTCCAAAGCTTTTAGGGTAACGGGAGGACGCTATTTTGTGTCCTCCCATTACCCTAAGGAGAACTATGGGGAAAAGCCCTGACCCCATAGTTCTCCTTTAATACACAGCACACTTATCCATGGCAGAATCTCTTTTGTAAACTTCAAAGCTTGTTATATTTGTTATGCGTGCAAAAATATTTGGTCATATTTCAAGTCAGAAATTCAATTTAATCAATATTTCCAGCAATAATATTTATTACAAGTTGGCAAGCTGTTTTTGCCTCTGTATTACATAATTGCAATACAGGAAGAACTCTGTAACCAAAAACATCTATGCCACCTAGGGATGGGTGAATCTGCCCGAGTTCAGTTTGTAGTGGGGGGGTTGTTGATTTCTGTTTGAATTTTGCAAAGCGAGAACTTAACAGCAAATCTAATTTAAGTCTGGGATGAGCATTGATACTAAATTCTGACCATTTTGAAGGTTAATAGGCATATGTCTGTCAGAAAAGGACATGGGGAGTTGGGCATTGCCTTGGAGGGACATTGTAAAAAGCAAACGAAAAATACCATACAGTGGGGAGAGGGTCCTTTTAATGTGACTTCAAGGGTGACATGGAAGAATCACCACTTTTTTAAGATAGATACTTGGGAGATCCCTTTAAGCTGTATGCGGTGTTATGGAGCAGTAGAGCCACATTTGGGATGTGTAATTGATGTTTACCTTTTACACTTAGTTTGTAATTGATTTTTTTTTATGTTTACATTTATATTGACTTTAATACACAAGCAGCATCCCAATCTGATGTATTTCAATTTGGAAACAAAACTTTTGACACCTGATTTTTCAATTGACTGGTGGAAGTTACAGCTACAAGCCTACAAGAGATATAAAAGCTATAGAAAAGGTTACTATTACAAAACAAATTACAAGTACAAATGAGCAAGTTGCAAAAAACAGTTTAGTAGTATAGTTTGTGAACTCCTTTTTTTACAGTACCATACTGCATTGTCTTTAAAGTTTAACAAAATGTCTAATCAGAGTGCACAAAATATACTTTAAAACCACAACCCCAAATTCCCTAAACCCCATCACATATCCCCAACTATTCCCAAAATATTCAAAAGACAAATTTCAGGTATGTGTTTGGTAGATACAAAACACAAAAATTCCCCAGCCTCAACCTGCCAGCCAGCCTGCAACCAAACAAATAGCCCTGTCAACAGTATGCGTTAAAATCAGAGGTTTTAGTTGCACAAACTTTTGGCCAGAAATATGTAGAAGCCACACTGCCGCGCCAAGGCACCTCTGCAAAGTGTGGTCCTAACTCTATGTATCCGAGTCTCCAAGTGTGAGCATATTAATGAAGTCGATAAATTACATGCAGGTGTACCTGGAGGTAAGCCTTCCCAATGTGCGCCCTGCTATAAAGGCTGGTTATAGATTCATGCATGTACCATCTTTTCTAGTTTTCTTCTTCTATGCGTTTGGTAGACACTGGCTAGCATTAGGACAGTACTCAAGCACATGATAAGACAGCAAATACAAAGATACAAGGCGGGTTTTAAACATTAGAGACAATAGCCAAAAAATTGTTCAGTGGCTAGACAGTATTTAAGCAGCTTGGTTATGCCACAATGTAAGAGAGAGAGAGACAAGGCAGGTTTTGTCTTGAAATAAATATTAGAGTGTATTATTAATATTTTTGCGTGCTAAGGCAGCGGAATAGACCGCAAACTTCAAGGTGCAATGCATGATTTTCTCTGCAGCAAACATTAGACATTTGGCAGCTGAAGTCTAGCTGCGGAAACATTGTGTGGAACCTAGAGCCTGGGCCCTGGAATAGGCCACAAACTTTGAAATACATTACAGGATTTACTTGTCTAACATTTTTAATAAAGGAGATTGCCTACATTTAAACGAGAATTATGAGGAGAGTGAAATACACTCATTCCCAAAATTACAGCCGACATGTGACACTAAAGCTGTCACCCGTCGGCTCGATTGATCGAGAACTGGGCGATCACATACCGCAGATCGTTGAGTTCCCGATCTTCTCCCTGCAGAGAGCAGTGACTGTCAGACACCACTACCCACAGAGATTCCCCCCTCCTCTCTCCTTCCTCCAGCGAGTGCTGACTGGAGGAACAGACAGGGAGGGAGAGTGCACAGCTGTTTCTGCCTCTAGAGAGGCAGAGGCATTTGTTAATCAGGCAGAGGGGTGGATCCTGACAACAGCTCTGCACTGTCAGCATAATAGTGGGCAATGGCCTGCTATATGCTGAGTTTTGGGTCACAGGCGGACATAAGTATATGTCCTCTTATGACCCTAAAGAGAACTATGGCCAAAAAAGTGTGAGCTATAGTTCTCTTTTAATGGAAACTATGGCAATAGGGGAAAAAATACGTGGTGCTTTGATGCACACTACTTTACTGCAAGTATGCGGTGATGTGCTGCAAACAAAGGGCAGGTTTGCCTGTGTCAGCAACAAGTGTACAAGTGTAAAAAGACAGCCTTAGAAAAAACCCTAAAACGGAAACTTCAACCCAATTTTTAAAAACAAGCATAGATTAAAAAAAATGGATAAACAAGAAATCAAATAACAACATAAAAAAGACTGCAAGGGGAAGCCCAGCAGCTAAACAACAGCTAAGTTGCTAAAACACAAAAGGTAGTCCTAACTAGGACCTTTGGGTCTCTGAACTGTGAACATGGGGGAGGCAGGTTTACACAAAAACATGTAGCCCACACACTGTAATCCACAGTAAATTAGCACAAAACAGAACAGTATAGCACCATATAGCTACTAACTCTCCCTACACTGACTGTCAGCTCACCCTAAACTACTCCAACACTTACTGACAAATGGCTGCTGGGAACCTAGCCTTTTATAGTGAGAGGGCTGGTATAAGTCAGCTGACCTAAGGTCAAAGGCCAGTCAGTGCATTATGGTTACAAACAATTTTGGTCTGGTGAATTTCTACATCAATGAACTAGGACCGCGACTTCTGGACATGCTGGATCTGCTGCGAACCCAAAACAGATTGGTAATGCCAACATTTTTAAAATAATTTCCAGGTACAAAATTATGTTAGGCACCTAACATCCAAGGTGGTGTTAGAGAAGCACTTGGTGCCCTGTTTCTGAGCATGTTATGTTTATACAACTGTTATTCTGATTTACATGTCATGTGTTGCTCTTCAATAAAGAAACACTCTGCAAAGAAAATTAGTGATAAGATAAGTGGCTTTCCGGATGCTGTTCACCTAAATAGTGTATTTATGCCCAAATTACATCTCAGTTCATAAAATGAGGTAAAAAGTGCATTGTTATGGTATATTAAAAAAATTCCATAACATTAAAACCATGTTTCTTGAAATAATCTAAAATCAGATAGACATTGAATACCATTAGTCCATCAAAAAATCCGTGAATAATCCAACAATTCTCACCCTCTCAAAGTCCCCCCTCCCTTGGCTTTGAGACCTCTTTGTTGTGAATGGTAATTATGCATAAATTTATCTCTGCACAGAATAGCTTCCTTTACATCATGTCTACCTTGGAAACACAGGCAGCTGGTAATGCGTATACAATACATTGAACTAAAACAATTTATTCTTTTAACACAACTGTAAAAAGTATAATAATGCCATGACAGATAAAATGCGCAATGCTATACATGTTTTTAAAGACCCTCTTTTAATCTTACAGGTTACTTTCTAGGGCAGTCCTCTCTCCTATGACATGCAGTTTTGTGTGGGGGGATTTCTTAGCTGCATTCTCTATTATGGAGCAATGCCAACAAGGCAAACGCAATGAGAAAAATCAGAACGGCAAGACTGATGGATAGAAGAGATGGACATCTAATAGGAAGAAGGGAGGATGGGATGAGCTAGTTGAGGAAAGAATGAGAGGATGAAGATGGGGAGATCATATCATAGATCAAGAGAGGGATTGCCAGGATACACATTAGAATAAACAGATAGGTAAATGTGTTAGTGAGTCGACTCACCAAACATCTGGATATGTCCTTTTGTGATGGGATTGAAGCTGCCACAGGCCAGCAGAATAACATGGGTTTTGGTGGTCTCAGCCATGCTGGTGGGATCAGAGGAAAAGGCAGAATATGGGTGGGTGAGGAACAGGGGTAGACTGTGGGTGGGGGCACAACGGGAGTTTAGATAAGGGTTTTCTCTAAATGGGTGGGTATCCTTTTCCACTGCAGAGAAAGGAGATGAGACTGGTTGCTCAACAGTCAGAGGAGAGAATGCTAGAGGCAGCACGTCATAGCTCTGACTCCCTCCCCCATCATCCCTGCGCTCTCCCTCTACAGCCTCCCCCTTTAACTACTACACAACCAGCATCCACCTGCTCTCTCCTACCCACTGGATCTAAACAAACAGCAGGGCTACATCATTATTAAAGAGATGCCAATCATCAAAATCTGTCCTCAATGACAAAACATACCTGAACAGAAAATGTAAAAGCAGTATCATTGCGACACTGCTGTGCTAAATTCTGCAACTAGCAGATTACATTTATAGAGCAGTTTAAAAATGAATAATGATGTCTATAGTGCAGTAATCTATAGTAATCAACCAGATTTCCTAAATCTTCGAAGATATTTGCATGTATTCCTTATTTTGTCTTTCCACAGTCAGCCTTTTTGCGGCAAGTATTGCCTAAATATTTAAAATATGTACCATGTCATTTACATTCAATACAGCTCACAAGAATTCAGCCTGAATTCCCTTTCATCAATAGAAAGAAATAGGAAGCAAAATAATGAGCCTAACCATAAGGAAATTTAGAAGCAGAAGATTAACCCCTTATTGTGAACTATCTCATCTGGAACATAATGTTTTCATAGTGTAGAACAGTAAGTAAGGTATTTGTTAAAAAAAGGTTCATCGTAAATTGCTAAAAGTCTCAAGCTGTAGCAAGGGGGCAGAAAAATAAACTGACTGTATAGCATGGAGGACTGTATCTGGTGACTGACTCGTTTAGTTTTGTTGATGAACAAGCCATTTTTGCATACACTCTCCTGATGTCTCTACTATGGACAAGGGGACAGACACTAAAAGTGCTTCCCAGATCACTGCTACCAGATTCTGCAACCTTAGAAGATTCTAGCATTGACAGTAATGATTAAGCAAGGAGTAGACCTTGTTTAGGTTTCCTAGGGGGGGCAAGAAGAATTGCTCCCAATGGTCTAATGTGTTCAATATCAAGCAGTTGGATTTCACACAACTTCTTAGAAAATCTCTGGGCAATAGGGACCAAGTGTCCCTTTTCCTATAGAAAAAGGTAATGTGACGGCGCCCTCTCCTAGTGTAAAAACGTTTATTACATATAGAGATAATTCTCATAGAAAACTACTCACATGGAGATGCATATAAAAGGCAATGATGCGTTTCAGGGGAGCAGCCCCACTTCCTCATCTTGAACAGATAACATAGTACATAAAGTGATCTCAGATACAGACTCTATATTTACCACCAAAACCTTAATATTTTTGAAGCCCTCGGGAAGCTGGACAACTTAGCAGCACTACCCAGGAACGGCCCCACAACAATACAACACAATTGATAGGCCAGCTTCCTGCATAAAATACATATATACTCCATTTTAAAAGGAAATATTTATCAATACCTACTTATCTCTCAAGTACCTCTTTACATAAGTATGTTTATAGCCGATGCCCTTTTAAATATATAGGAAGTTTTTACCACAATGTACTATATTTCAGCACTTTTTATTCTCATTACGTTTTGTACTCAACAAACAGAAGTCAGCATCTTTTAGTTTCTATTAGCAGTTCCATCTAATGCAGATTGGTTGAGAATCTGCATTAGGTGGGTTGCATTGGTTGAGAAACTGAGTGATTAATCCAGGGGCTTACCATCAAACATTTTGATGGGAAGCTACACAGTTTAGTTATCCACCACATCCTCCATAATGGGGTCCCCTCCTAACCCAGGTCCCATATAAACTGTGTGGGCTGCTATGGCTATTATTAAAGCATTCACTACCCTTTTCAAAGCTTTAGATATTAACCTCAGATGTTTGGGTTTCGGTCTGCCCTCAGCTATAGTATCTCCAGATTACAGATGCAACCCCTCACAGTAAAGGAACAATATGTAAACATGGGAGACAGGAGAGGGTGGACCAAAGCTCCTGGGAATAGAAGATAAATAAAGGTGTGTTCAAGTACCTTCGAGTGGTAGCAAATGTTCTTAGGGCTTGTTCACACCATATCTAGAATAGATCTGAACTAATTTCTGCAAAGGTGGTCCTATGCATTTTTTATGCATTTTTGCTGTGTTTTTTTCTGTGTTCCGGTTTTTTAACAGGTATATTTGTATTTGTATTTAAAGGGTATAACACGGTAAAGCAGGAAAACAATGTAAACTAAGAAAATCACAACAAGAATAGAGAAAACACAAAATGTTTCTTGATTCATGTACACATGTAGATACACATGTAGATAAGAGCAAAATTAACTGCAGACACGCTATACATAAATGGAAGAATAGCAATTAACATAATACGCGAGCAGAGAAACTGCTTCTTGTTTCAATTCCTATATCATCGTATAATGACCGATGTCATGAAAAAAAAAAGAAAAGGGGAGGGGAGGGGGTCCAGAGGGGGGACAGGACGGGAGAAGAAATCAAAAGTGGGAAAAATAAAGAAATGAAAGCCTGAACCAGAAGGATTCATACTCGGGGTCCAGGAACAGTAAGAGGGGGCAAGCTTGCATACAAGCGTATCAAACCCTGAGATCCTGATATCAATTGTCACCTAATGTGCCCCCCAGGAGACAAACCTGGGGGAGTTACATCTTCCCATTGGCCCTCCAACGTGAGTCCCCTGGCCCCCACTCAGTCCACCTAGATTCGATCAAACTTTTGTGGGTAGTTTCGGCTCACATGGGTAAATTTATAGATCAGTGGTGCAGCAGTGCATTTTTTTTAAGTCTCAGTTGGGTTTTAGGTGCGTTCCAGTGCGTTCTGATGCATTTGCATGTGCGTTTTTGGACCAGACAAAAAATGTTCTGGATCTGATCTGGAGATGATGTGAACAAGCCCTGTTTATGACAAATTAACAAGCTGGCGGAAAATCCTCACCTTTCTGTGTTGACACACAGTTCCCACAATATCCCATCACTGTCATGTTCACTTTCAGCATCCCCGTGAAACACTCGTTACTTCTGGGTATAGGGGAACATGTACCTTTTCAACTGCTGGAGCCCAGGGGAAAAGCGGTTGCAGGGATTAGTCTAGCCGTCCTGAAGGAGCTGATGAGAACAAGGATCAGGTAAGTAAATTGCCATCTATTCTAAGCAATAGAAACTACCTGTAGTGTCCTATATATAATCCTGCTCCAAAGAAACAACTAGAAAGGTGTGAAATGTAATCATTTGAATTATTTTTAGGTATTCTTTGTGAATGGGAACACATAACAAACATATCATGGGGGTGAGGGGGGACCGGTTCTCAAATTTAACTGAAAGAATGGAAATAAACTTCAAAACGTGCAGAAAGACACTATTATTGTCCCCACATTTTTATTAAAGCTATGTAAACAATTGTCAGTTGTGCCTTTAACCACTTCAAGACCAGGTGTTTAGACCCTCTTCCTGGCCAGGCCATTTTTCAGTGTTCAGCGCTGCAGTACTTTGACTGACGTTTATTCTGTCATGCAACACTGTACTGAAATGAATTTTATAAAAAATTTTGGGGACAGATAGATCTTTATTTTGGCGGTATTTAAACACCACTGGGGGGTTTTATTTTTTATTATAATTAGGAAAAATTACAGAAAAATTTGAGAAAAAAAATTTGTTTTTTTTTACATTATGTTAGGAAACATTTATTATTACCAAGTTTTTTGGTAAAATATAAAAGATCGGGTCACGTCGGGTAAATAGACACCAAACATGTCAAGCTTAAAAATTGCACGCACCCGTGAAATCGCAGAAAACTACCATACCCAAAATTGGCCATAGGCGACACTTTAAAAGTTTTTACCGCTCATCAGTTTAGTGTTATCAGTGATTGATGGCCCTAGACTTATTGCTCTCACTCGGACGTTCGCGGCGATATGTAACATGTGCAGCGTAATGGGCGCAATCGTTTTTTTTGCACGTATGCGCCCCCGACGCATGTTTGCATGCGTGTATGTATGGGTGGGGACTTTAATTTTTTTTTTATTTTTTATTCTTTTTTTATGTGTAACTGTAAAAAAATGTTGGGGGGGAATTTAATTTTTTTTTCCCCCCACTAAACTTTATTGCTATCACATACGGGGGCTAAACAACTTTGGAACTCATATATGCACATTTATGATGGCATGTGTATACAACAAGGGCCGGATTTCCCACAAGGCCAACCAAGGCCCGGCCTCAGGGCAGCAGGGAGTAGAGGGGCAGCAGGGATGTGGAATTCCTATAACCCGATGCGCAGAACATGCAGTTCTGGGCGCCGTGCGGGTAGTTGTTTTCTACATTTAGCTCTGCTTTGGGCAAGCAGAGCTAAATGTGCAGCGTTGAAGCCGCCACTTGTTTTGCACAAGTGATCTTGGGGGGTGTTTGGCGGGTAGGGGAGCGCATTGAGGAACCTGGCCTTGGGGCAGCAGAGAGAGTAAATCCGGCCCTCTATACAACCAATGCTGTGACACTGGCCACACATATTCTGCCACAAGATCTTGTAGGATTGATAGCCAGCCATGCAATGCCTCTGTCTTCACGTACCATCAGCAAAGGCAAACTCCTCAAAATGTCTCATAAAATTGGCTGCAGAAGGATCCAGAAGCACTGGATCGTGTTTGTTTTTTTTTGTTTTTTTTAATGAAAGGTGAACCGTAGCCCTGTTTTTGAAGGAATAAACCAGCAACAACTTAAAATTATTTAACATAAACGTTATTTTAAAAGACAGAAAACAATGGTAATCCTGTTTATGACTCACTAGCCAGTGTGGTTGTATGATATTATTTTGTTGCTAATAATTTTTATATTATATGTAAATAATACATATTCAGCTTCCTTGATGCAATCAGCAGTAAACTACTGAATGTGACTCATACAATGACGTGTCAGTAGTGCATCAAGGTTACTTTCATATATTTTTGTAGTTAGCAACAGCCAGGTCAGTGTGGTCAAGTAATGAGTTAATACTAGTCCTCTGAGATTGCAGTGAAGGCCAGGTAATTACGAAAAATAATAGCTGTAAACCATCATGTTCCTCATTCAGCTGGAGGGCTCAGCAGAGAACATGCTAATTAAACTGGCCCTCTCAGTGGAACAGAC